TGGGCAAAGACAAGCCAACCTGTAACTCTCCATGTGAATCTTTGTACTTGCAAATGGACATAACAAATATCTTATCGGAATATCAAAACAGTTTAACAAATAGAGATAGGGAAAGGTGTGACCACAGAATAACCAAGCAGCTCACCACAACTCTAAGATGATCCAAACTCAGATACAAAAACTCTATGAAGTGCGATCGTACTCAAAATCTAACATGCACACCAAAAGAGTAATAAATAGAGATTGAGAATTAGACATTCTTGAATTACAATCCACGATTCTATAGTAATAAATTTTCCGATAGACCTTGGTACATTCTTACAAAAAGCTTAGCCCATGGTTGAATATAGCAACAAAAGCATTCATTCGAGTTTTGGGCAAAGACAAGCCAACCTCTAAATCTCCATGTGAATCTTTGTACTTGCAAATGGACATAACAAATATCTTATCGGAATATCAAAACGATCTGAACAAATAGAGATAGGGAAAGGTGTGGCCACAGAATAACCAAGCAGCTCACCACGACTTCAAGATGATCCAAACTCAGATACAAAAACTCTATAAAGTGCGATCGTACTCAAAATCTAACATGCATCACAAAAGAGTAATAAATAGAGATTGAGAATTGAAATTCTTGAATTACAATCCACGATTCTATAATAATAGATTTTCCGATAGACCTTGGTACATTTTTACAAAAAGCTTAGCCCATGGTTGAATATAGCAACAAAAGCATTCATTCGAGTTTTGGGCAAAGACAAGCCAACCTCTAAATCTCCATGAGAATCTTTGTACTTGCTAATGGACATAGATATACCACTACTATTATCAATAGAAATTATCTCTATTTTTTCTGGCCTACCCCAACCAAAATCAACCTCATACAAATTAAACTTTGGTGATCCAGAAACTGAAAGTGTGTGTTTCATGTTAATACCACAAAATTCTCTATACCAACTACAATTCAAGATCAATTCCACATCCTTCATTTGACTCTTGATAGCTTCTCCAATGACTTCCACAGCAGTTATAAACCCTTCCTTTCCAACTAATTCGACACGACTTGCTTTTGAAGCAATCGTCACTAGGCAATTCCCAAAATAAGATTGAGGAAGTGGTGGATTGAGACGCGATCTACAATCAGCTACACATCCAAAAATCTCCATAACATCCTCATCTATCATCTCATCCTCAATCGCGAACTTTGATTTTATCAAACAAGTCCATATATAAGCACAAGTTATTGTAAAAGATGTCACATAACTTAGGTTAGGTCTTCTTGACAATATTAAATTCTTGAGCTTAACAATGTTATTTCGTTCCATAATAAATGTACCTCGAACTCTATCAAGAGGAGGAATCACAATTATGTCACCTATCTCCGGCATGTTTTGCTTCATTTCATCCCATATAATCGTCCCTTGTTTATAAGGGTCTTTTATTACGGACCTATCATAAAATGGAATCAACTCATTAGCTAAACATTGTTCATCACCGCGTAATTTGTTGAGTAAACCCCATGTTCTTATGAATTTTACGATAATATTTCCATCACAAGCAACATGATGGTTACTAAAACCAATGGATATGCCAAGATTTGGAAAAAGTGTCACTTGAATGGCTAAGACCGGGACTAGTTTTGTCACGATCCAAAAATGGACGTGATGGCACTCGTCTTATCCCACCAAGACAAGAAAGCCTAAAACTCAACTATTACAATAAAAATGCGGAAAATTTACTATCAACTTACATTATACCCCAAAACCTGGTTGTCACGTGTACAAGCCTCTAAAGTATTAC